CGCGCAGAAAATCTCTTAAGAAAATTTTAAACCTCGAAACAGGTTTTATGCGTGTAAAGTGTGCTGCCGCTCGGAAAGGAGCGTGACAAAAGGAGCGCGCCGGCTATTCAACGTGCCACCACCACTCGAGGGCTCGAACGAGGCCTCGGAGATCTTCTTTCGATCCTCAACGATTCCTTCCGTATGCCGTATTTATTATAAAGGAAAAAAAATTGGGGCGAAAAACGAGAAGCGTTTCCACAACGAGTGAAAGAGATTCAAAAAACTCGTTCAAAGATATTATACGACGCGTAATATACTTATCTATGAAACCACGAGGAAGGAGGGGAGCGATTGAAACGTGAAACGAATTTTTTCCCTGGAATCTTGATTTTTTTTCCCCTCGAAGAAAAATCACATCTTTTTCGTTCTCGTACGCGAGACAGCGCGTGAAGATATCATCGAAATGTAATAATTGGGCGGGCGAGTCGAAAAAAGTTGAAAAGAATCGCAACGGTCGGAGCGCGAGGTTTGCGGCGCACGTGACACACGAGGGACACGCAAACCGTGTCCGAGAAGTCGAGTGCACCGAAATAGAAAGGCGGTGGGAAAGAGCGGCGCGTACCATGACCCAGAAAATTCAAACGGGACGCGGTGAAGCCGATTCGCGAAACGCCTCGTTTCTACGATTTCTTCCCTACGCGCTCAACATCTTTGGCCGAAAGAAACCCGAGGAACGACACGTTATTACACGTTATTATGTTATACCTCAACCTTGGAAAGCTTGAATTAAGCGCGGGAATCGACTGTCATTCCATTATTCGAGTCGAAATTTCACTTTCAAAAGCGCGTACTAATTTTCCACGAATAAATACCGTGAGGAGGAGAGTGAAAATGAGTCGTTCGATTTTCGAACTCTCTCTCTCTCTCTCTTTTCGTGTACACGATTACGCGTTGCTTTGTAACCGTATCGTCTCGCTAATGTTCGTGTTATTCATCACCGATTACTCATCCACCGATATGTTTCGTCATCGGTCGGGAAAGATAGGAGATCGTTTGGCCGCGTACGCATTCAGGTATTTCGTGCAATCACGCATTATCGCGAGCAAATAGAGAGAGAAAAAGAAAGAAAGAAAGAAAAAGAGAGAGAGAGAGAGAATCGTGTTTGGAAGAAGAAAAGAAAAAAAGGTTTTTGGAAATTTCATAGAGAAATACGATGATGACGAACGTACATGTACGTAGCGTGAAATTCTTCTTTTACGTTAAATGCGTATCCGTACAGGCGGATATACATACGTTCCGTGTTGCGTAGCGTAACGTAGAGTGCGCGCGAGAGAGTAGAAAAAGGGAAGAAGGAGGCAAAAGAAGAGAAGAAAAAGAGAAAGGACGAGGACGAGGAGGCGAAGGAGGAGGAGGAGGAGGAGCAGCGTGTGTGTCGGTGAACGCGAATGTTGAAAGTATTCGGAGGCGAGTGGTAAAGTCGAACGAGGAGGAAGAGGATGGGTCCGAGATGCCGTTACTCGAAAGAGTCACTCGGGGCAAGCCTAACCCAACCGAGAGAATCGAGGATAAGAAGGAAGGAGGAGAAGGCTGAATTCCTCTTATTATTATTCTTCTTTCCATCGAGGACGAACACCCGAATGCTACTGACCTAATACGGTTCTTTTTCTTTCTTTTTTTTTCGCGATACACCCGCGAACAAAGTGAATGGACGTGGTCTAACGATATCTAAATCCTCGAGTCGAACGATGATAAATAGCCGTGATATAGCAAAATCCACTGGATTCCGCTGGTTTTCTCGCTCGTCGAAATTCTTGAATGGAAAATTTTTTCCCCTTCTTTCCCTGTATACGAAATCATATATTACAATCATATTTACGTTTTACTCGCATAAAAGCGTAAGTTGAGCATTTTTTCCACTGTTACTTTCGCAACGAGTTAGCATGCGAGCAGTGCGCTTCTTTAAGCCACAAGCAATCTCGAAACACGAAATATTTACGAAAGCCGAAACTGACTTAACGATTTGTCGTCATAGCGTGA